AATCGTACGCATGAATTGTTTGCCCATGCCCTAATCCGAAAAACAGAAATCGAGTAAGGAACGCCAATTAAATTAGATATGGCGAGCACTAAGTGTATAAAGAGTGAGTAACCAAAAATTAGGGCCTGGAACCCAGGCTAGGGATTGACCTTGTCTAACAAACTGACTAACACCTCTCTTGGTGGTGGTAGCTTAAAGAGCTGGACCAACATCTACCAGATTCTCAGTCTTTGAAATCTCTACGGGTAAAAAACGAGGATTTTGAAAACACATCAAAGTTTTTAAATTACAATTAGTATGCAATATGTTGTTTTATTAGTACGCATGTATAGCAAATAGATTTTGTTTAGTGCACATTCATTGACCACCAAATCATGCTTTTCTGAATCTATAAAATAATTAAATTTGATTTTAAAAAGTACTCTTGGGCTATTTACTTTTGATTGTCATGTGCTAAACTACGGTATTGTGTATTTGTTGGTGCAGTGCCAAATGCCAATATTGCCAAAAGAAAATGTATGTATTTACTCATGCATCAAAAATCTATTATCAGAAAATATGATTGATTAACATTCTTTAAGTCTATACATTTCATCGAAATGTTTTTTACATGTTTTATAGCATCTGCCATTAAAAGAAACAGTCTGAGAAATAAGGCATTATTTTTTGGTACATACTTGTTTCTTGATGATGACATAATTAATGTCAAAATATTGCATTTGGATATTTGGAGCTGTCTCTTATACACATCTAGATGTGTATAAGAGACAGGTGTGGGAAGAAAAGAGCTAATAAGGAAACAAACACTTTAAACTTTACCTGATCACAAAGGAAGCAAATCTAGAATCAACAAAGCAAGGAATATATTTATCAAACTGCAGTCAATTTGGAGATCTCAACAATTCCGATTAAAAAAGAAAGTGAAGTTGTATAACAGCATTGTGAAAGCTATCCTTCTCTATGACTCTGAGTGCTGGCAGGTAACTATATCAGACATGCAAATGCTATCATCATTTCATAATGGCTGTCTCAGGAAGATTTGCAGAATATTCTGGCCGGTGGTTATATCAAATAATGACCTGTACAAGAAAACACATTGTGAAAACATTGTAACAGAAATACAGATGAAGAGGACTAATTAAGTAAGTAATTTTTTACAGAATGCGAGACTTTCCAACCTTTCTAATCCTTAACATGTCACTGTTTCTCTTGGGCCGCCTTAACATCACTGATAAGTTCTGCAGCAGCTTAGATAGTGATGACATGCCTATGTGCAAGAATAATTACCTGGCCCTTTGATGTGAAATATCAACTGAGGCCTGTCCTGAACGGTTAGGGGTTTGGCATCATTGTCAACAACAACAATGTTGGGACAACAGCTATTCTCTACAATTTATATGATTTTTTAAAGATATCTCTTTTGTATACAAAGTGCTACCCACAAAATAACAACTCAGTCATTTACTTCTATTATATCTTATCAGTCAAAATATATATAAATAAACTAAAACAAATGAAACAAGTTAAAAACAAAACACTTATGAAATGCATGCTAGGTCCTTAAAGTGTGAACAACTCGTATATCCTGGTACTAGATAAACTTGTGATGTAGTAATTGCTTTACCTTTAGACTTCTTTCCTCCTAGTCCGGGAAGCTCCTATGTTATTTTTACATAAGCCGCATTTAATTTTGTAACAAATATTGTGTAATGATATAAAATTTCAATTTTTATCCAGAATGAATATAACATTTACACAATTGAAATGGAGAGAATAATCAATCCTACCCTTCCAAATACACAAAGAGCTCAATCACCAATCGCATAGAGGCTTTTTTTGTATAATGCACTATACATTGGATTATTTATTATTTTAATTATATCGTCTAAAACTTTTATTAAAGTGTTGGGGTGGGGGTGCCCGTGATTTTCAATCCCAGTAGGTACTCATTTATATTCCTGTGTGGAGAGAAGCAATGCAGATAAAGTGCATTGCTCTAGGACACAAGCGAAGTGCACAGCGAGGGATTGAACCCCGACCAGGAAGGTTGAGAAAGCACGGCGTTCCAACTGCGGCAAACTACTGCTTGTGACAATGCTGTAGAGTACCCGTGATTTTCAAATTATATTATAATAATATATTATTAGGTTAAATTTTCCACGTCAGCGCGTGCATTGCAAATATATATTTTTTTATTTAACATCTGTATAATGATTTTATAAACAATCATAATTCTCTGTACTATCTAGTAAACATTTAAACAATGGACTTCCTTGTGTTGTGGTCATATTGGACTGTACTTTTATTTAAGAAGACCATTCAACAAACCAGATAAAATAAAATTCCCAGGTCGGTGCATGCTTTAAAAACATAATTACCTGAAATTTGGATATAGAGAGGACTTCCTTATGATTTAGGCGCAAGGACATATAAAGGTAAAGGTTCATTTCGTTAAAGACCCATTCAACAAACAACATGAAACATAAATCAAACATTTAGGTTAAAGATGTATTGTCCCTTGCTAATGTCAAAAGTCTATAAAAAATAATTTTGAAATAAACTTGCTCATTGCAATAGCATAAAAATTATTAACTTGTGCTTAAAAATTATTGAATTTAAAAAATATGTACCCTGATTTTTAAAACAAAAAAAAATATAATAAAAATAATAAAACACTTCCAGTGACGGGAAGTGTTTCTATCATTTTTCGCTGTAAACTGATGGGTAGACATTTTTTATATACACTAATTTTTAATTTCAATTGATAAAATTTATGTTACTTCAAAATGGGCAAGTTAATTTTTTTTTTAATATATATTTTTATGATTTTTTTGGTATTTAGCAAGGGACAATACATCTTTAATTTAGGTTAAACTTTCCGCTTCTGAGCATGCATATAACATAATTTTTTAGATGTATGTTATTTTCATGATAATCGAGAATGTATTGATTATATACTGTAAATTGCAGATATTTTATGTTGTCCGATTGTAAGCATTGAAAATGTGACGACGAACTTGGGATACGGGCCTCTATTGACACTCATATCAAAGGGCCTGTTAATTAACCTTGCATTGGAGCCTGTCGTCACATGCTACGATGCCTTCTCCTCCTCCTCCTCCTCCTGTTCCTCCTTATCATCATCACATCATCATCATACCATCATCATCATCTTCATCATCGCAATTGTTAATTGTCCATGGTAAAATAGGGGAGAACTATTAATTTAGTGTGTATTCATTCATCAATAAAAGTCTCGTAATGCACGTCGGTACATTTCTCAGCATCTAGAAAAAACAAAACTTTCCAAAGTTGGGAGAACCCTGAGACTACCGCAAACCACCCCCCCCCCCACGTCTAAAATAGTCTTCCAACGATGGAACATCGAAAATTGTCTTCCAACGACGGAACAAGCAAAACATTACGTTCACTTACCATGACCCCGCCCACTGAGGGACCCCATTATGCGTGACAGTCAGGGCGAAGCTCGGTTTCCATAATCGATCACCCTATCCGCGACAGTCGCCGACAATTGTCGGGAAGGTTGAACATTTTTCAACTTTTCCGATTGCGTTGCAGACGCAAACGAATCAGGGTGCATTGCTAGCTGCCTGCGCAATCGGGAAGGCACCCCGATTCGTCTGTGAACCACAACTGTCACGACTGTCGCCGATAGGGTGAGTGATTCTATGGAAACACAGCTAAAACTCTGGATCCGCGCCTGAGAGTTCCCTTATTCTCAAAATTTTCTATTTCCTCAGCCCCTGACATGGTGGGGGTATTCATATTTTCATCAATGCACAACAGTGTCGGACAAAAGTAAAAATTGTGTACTGCAGTTTATATTATATTTCTTTTGTATATAAAGTGATATAAAACCCACAAGATATCAGTTCAGGTATTTATTTACTTCTATTTTATTGTGTCAGAAATATAAAAATTAAATAAATGAATAATAATAAATTAAAAAAGAAACTAAATGAATAAATAATAATAATAATAATAATAATAATAATAATAATAATAATAATAAATAAAAAAGAACACAATAAAAAAAAAGTAAAATAAAACACCACACTATGCAGTATCGAAACTCGAAGCTTCCTTAAAGTGTGAACAACCTCGTATATCCTGGCACTAGAGGAACTTGTAAGATAGGTTTACCTACTGTACTGTATTATAGACAGTCACACATACTGCACATAATGTACAAGTATAATATTTTGGTTTTTAAAAATATAAACCTCAATTGAAATTTTACCTCAGCCTCAATTTGTTCTTATTTTGGTCTTAATTTTTAAGGAATTTCAGCCTCAGTGTTCTTATAAAAAAAAAAAAAAAAAGTGTAAGCTTAATTTGAATTAAAATAATCAGTTGATTCGTTTGATATCTCCAGCAGTGCATTGTATACATTTGCACCAACATTAGTGATCCATCTTATGGTTATATTGAAATTTATATTAAGGTATACATTCCCCAATGTCTGCATTATATTTTTATATTATTTAGGTAGCAATAACCTAAAAAAATACTTGCGAAAAAAACTTGGGTCTGATATTATCATAAAGCAATGTTGGATCCAGTGTTATTTTTAAAATAATACTGTAGTAAAATTTTAAATTTATTTGTTCTTTTAAATGTTTGTGCAACTTATTAAAACTGTTTTTCTTTTCCTTTGGTATCACTGATGAGAAGTAGGCCTATATTCATATCAGTTTAGAAAACAATAGATGCTATACTGTTATAGTTTATAAACAGATACTTGTCTTGACGGAATCTGCCAAGTAGGAATTAATGTACAGGGTATACGCGGTGGAAAACTCCCGCCAAAAAGGAAGGGGGGGGGGAGTGGAAACAGTTCATTAAAACATGAAACTGTAGTTTATAAAGAACAACAGACATAATAAAATGAATATCAGGCGGGTTTTCGTTGATTTGTATTAAATTTTTTAAAATAGATAATTTACCCTCTCAAAAAAGTCCCAAAACAAAAGCAAACATTTTGTGTAGAAAGTCGAGGAATCTCCACTGTTTCAAAACTCCCGCTAAACAATACGCCCAAGGTCAGATGCAGCGCATGACTTGGCAGCAATACTCCGTAATTCATATTACGTCCGTATACAGACTATATAAACTTAGTGGATTCAAGCTTAAGTACATTTCGATTTCGAAACGAGCTTCCGAATACAACAATAATAAACATGTCTGGACGTGGTAAAGGAGGAAAAGGACTTGGAAAAGGAGGCGCTAAGCGTCATCGTAAGGTGTTGCGTGATAACATCCAGGGCATCACCAAACCAGCTATCCGTCGTCTTGCTCGTCGTGGTGGTGTCAAGCGTATATCTGGTCTTATCTACGAAGAGACCCGTGGTGTATTGAAAGTATTCCTTGAGAATGTCATCCGTGATGCTGTCACATACACCGAGCATGCCAAAAGAAAGACCGTCACCGCCATGGATGTCGTCTACGCCTTGAAGAGACAAGGCCGAACCCTGTACGGATTCGGTGGATAAGCTACTCACTATCATTCAAACCAAACGGCTCTTTTCAGAGCCACCATTTGAACAAAAGAGATTGATTTCTTCCTTGCCTTGTATACACGTCATATTACAGGTCCAGATTATCGGTGGCCTAAACTATACACGAAATAATGTCAGCCACTATTATCTTCTCGTTTGATTAAAATATAAAAATTGCGTTTCTACCTTCTTTCTTTTTTTTTTTAGCGCAAAATACAATCGAGTTATTGATATCCAATCCAACTAAAAGTCCATTCGTTTGTACACGTTTTTGATAACTTGCCTTTAAAATGTTGGCAATGTAAGTCAAAATCTCGAGCTTACATGTATAGCGAAGAATATTGTACTTCATTACTCTCGATGAAAAAAAACAAAAAAAACAAAAAAAACTTGAATTCTCAAATGTACAAGGTAAACTACTTGACATTGATGCTGCATTGTCTTCGGAATTCGAACCAACAACCACTCGTTAATTTTATTAAACTATTTGATCGGCAAAAGGATATGAATGTATATTAACTATATTTTTGGTAAAATTTAACGGAAAATAGCATGGATATCTGTACTTTGGGAACCGGCGAAGCCAACAGACAAAATTTATTTCTTCAGGGACATCTTTATAGCGCTTATATTTATTACAAAACTTGCATAGCTAAAGCATCACAAATGTACTATAAAACAAAGTCTAACAGTAAGCTATTAAAACCAGTTTTAGATCACTGAAACAAGGGTAGTTGAATTCGGAAACCAAAGGGCTGTGAAACAACTACAAATATATAACAGCGACCAGAATGTTAAAACCTGCATGTTATTTTGTAACTTTATTTTCAGCCATATTTTTACATCTTTTTTGATGGTCTAGCTATTATTATTAGATAGATATGATTAATGGTCACTGACAAAAAAAAAAGAAGTGTCAACCGAGGTCTGTAGCCTGAGTTACAGTTGGGGTTTTGCCGTCGGCGTCGTATTCATATTTTCATCAATGCACAACAGTGTCGGACAACAGTAAAAATTGTGTACTAGAGTATATAAAGTGATATAAAACCCACAAGATATCAGTTCAGGTATTTATTTACTTCTATTTTATTGTGTCAGAAATATAAAAATTAAATAAATGAATAATAATAAATTAAAAAAGAAAATAAATTAATAATAATAATAATAAATAAAAAAGAATACAATAAAAAAAAAAAGTAAAATAAAACACCACACTACGCAGTATCGAAACTCGAAGCTTCCTTAAAGTGTGAACAACCTCGTATATCCTGGCACTAGTCACTTACTAATCACTTTACCTTAGTCTCCTTTTCCTCTCCAAGCCCCTGGAAGCTGTGATGATTTTTCTTTTTTACACAAGCTGTATTTGTTTGAGTTTCCTTAAAATGTGCTGATTTACATTTTCATTTTGTGACCAAAAGAAAAATAAATAAATAAAATTACACTATTGATATGAAGACATAATTAATAATTATAGGGGAGGGAATATTAAGTAGTAAACATTTATTTTAATTACAATTTTAAAGGCCTATTGAACGGGCCCATAATAGTCCCGTGCTTTGTACTGTCTGCAGACCCATACACAGGCGTTTTCGACGGGTGCGTACGCAATCCCTTCCCCCACTAAATTACCAAAGGTCCACATTTTCCGGGGTAGAAAATTCAAGACACACTCTCACACGCTCCGGATATCCATCCACCAACGCTCCTTGGCCAATCAGAGCAGTTTCCAATTATGACTGCCTCTAATTTGTCGTAAAAGCAAGGACTTTTAACTGTATTTATAAGCTTTTTGAGGAATTTCAGTGTGTTTCCCCGCCGATTGCGTGTCAATAACTTTCTTTGTGACAGTGCTCCTCCATTTTATCGGTGGCAAGGGTGACAAAATTACATCTATTCAAGGTGTCATTATAGTCGATAAAAGATGCGGCCTATATGGTGCGACACGCCCTTTTTGGACGCACTCCATCATAGCACTGAGATGCATTGTAAGGCCGGGATAATAA